ATATATATATATCTCATTGAAACATTGAAAGAACTCGAATAAAAAACTGAAAATCTCCTGATCAAGGCTTTGAGTTTTAGTCAAACAGAATTATTTTAAAAACAAACGAATGAAACTGACTTTAACAAAAAGATGGAATTTCCAGATAAGTTCAAAACTAAAGTGTCCACAGGGAAATGCGAAACACAGGTGTGTCTGGTAATCAGCCTCTCAGGTGTCTTCAGTCTGGAATCAGTCTGTTTAATGACTGACACAGGACTAACTAACACACACTACACAGACAGCTGAGGACAGGATGTCAGACAAACTGCAGACAGATAAAATAAATGCCCACGAAAAAAAAAAACATAATAAAAGCATGGATGGACAGAAAGAAACCAACGAGTTCAGAACAACCTCCAAAGAGATTAGAGGTTACTCAAAGGTCATCACTGTCAGATCTCTTTTTTTTAAACAAGGTGAGCTGAATGAAAGACAATTTAGGAGGCCACCAAATCCTAAAAACATGACTTGCCAAAATGTACAGTGCCCTCCAAAAATATTGGAGCAGAAAATCAAATTCCCTTGTTTTGTTGTAAAGAAACATTTTGTTTGACAATTTATGGAGAAATGCATCGAAACTAATCACGAGGAATTTTATCAATCAGCAGGAAAATGATCCAAAGCACACTGCCAACAAAACAAAGGTCTTCATCAGGGGAAAACAGTGGAAGGTTTTAGATTGGCCAAGTCAATCACCTGACCCGAAACCAACAGAGCATTTCACCTCCTGAAGAGGAGACTGAAGGGAGAAACTTCCCAAATAAACAAGAACTGAAAGAAGCTGATGTGAATACCCCACACATGTTGTATCTGTGTATTCTCATGTACTTGGACTAACATCTGACCTGACAGCCGTTGTACAGCAGCTGGTGCTCAAACTTGCGGACACCAAGGATCTGCTGGAACATCTCGTAGAGCTGCTCCTTACTGAGGATCAGCTCCGACACAGAACCCATATGAGCCCGCTGTGTTGGACGACGCGTGTCCTCCTCCCCCCGGTAGATGGCATCATATTTGGCTATCCAGGAGCTCAGCACAGTCTCTTTGCTCAGACCATCGATTTCTGGAAGGCTGCGGACACGCCGTTCAATGTTTTTCTTAAAGACCTCACGAAAGTCGTTGGCTGAGCAGCCGCCACTTTGAACCATTCGGGAGGCTCGCTCACTCTTCAGGAAACTCTGTAACGAGAAGGAAAAGAAAACTTACACAACCGTTTTTAATTTACTTACTGTATTAGCTTGTGTCACCTAAAGCTCTTCATGGAATGGACATTCTTATTCTTACTCAGGCTTGTTATTTTAGTAAATGTTCAGCGTATAAATACAAAAAACAAGTCTAATTTATTACTTTAAATTGTAAAATCTATGTTCAACACTGCCTATTTAAACTAAAATGAAGTGTTTGAATTGTGGGTACATTTCTAAACATTAAAGAGTTGCAAGACCAATCTAAAATGACTGAAGCTTGAGTTTTAGCATACCAATACATAATACACCCACTAGTCATTTCACTATATATATAATGGTTAAATCATTTTCTACTGAAGGTCAAAACAATCATCAGAGTTGTGAAAAAAAAATACATTTACGTAACTTTAAAGATGATGTAATAGTTGGTTTGAGTAATTCAGAAACTGCTGATATACTGTGATTTTCACCACAACCATCTCTAGGGTTTACAGAGAATAATCTGAAAAAGAAAATATCCAGTGAGTGGCAGTTGTGTGGACAAAACTCTCTTGTTGATGTCATAGGTCAGAATGGAGCAGATAGAAAGGCAACAGTGGCTAAAACACACACACACACACACACACACACACACACACACACACAC